CCAGTGAGCTGGGCTGGCTGCGACTGCAGGCTCGCTGTGCCCCTCTGGCTTGGGGGAGGGGGTTGGGGTTGGAGCAGGGGTGGCCTGACGCCCCGTCAGCCTCTCTGCCGTGCCCATGGCTCTGAAGGGCTGCCGGGAGGGCCGAAGTCCCTGCGCCCTGGGCTCTTGTGCTTGGCCTCTGCAGCTGCAGTGGGCACAGCTAGCGCCAGCACCGCCGTGCACTGCAGCACCTTGCCGTCTGTACTTCATGTCTGCCACGACCTGGTGGCCTCCGCGTATCAGCTGCTGATCCATCTTCAGCACTGTGCGCCTCTTGGTTGCTGTCTGCAGCTTGTTTGGTTCTTCCATCTGTGTGACTGAAGGAATTAGTGCTCCTGACAGTGTGCGTGTGCTGAGTGGTGGAGGAGACGCCGGTCCCTAAGCACTGTCTGTCTTTGTGTCCGGGGCAAGGATAGGCCAGCCTGCAGCTGCGGCCTCACTGTGCCCCAGGTTGCCAAGGTTCACACCAAAGAAGGGTGGCTTTGCAATATGATTCATGAAAGATGTTTGTAAAGTCCAAAGGTATTGCATTTAGGGAAAATTCTTATTTATTCAAGTGGTTTAAAGTAGATTAAAATTTCCAGAGCACTTTTAGTGGTTACTTAGGAAAAAATGCCTCTCCCTGTAATTTAGTGAAAAATAAAAATGAATGTCTCTTAGCAAAGCAGATGTTTAGAAGAACTAGGATCTGAAAAATACAGTTGTCTGGTAACCACTCCTGCACGGCGGCTGAACATGGCTTTCTAGTGAGCTCCTTCAGGCTTCTGGCCACTGCCCTTTGCCACTCCCATAACAAACTTAGGCACAGATTTTACTAAGATTTTATATTTTTCTGTCTTCAAAATCAGGGCCTTTCTTAAATACCAAGGTTCTACTGAAGCCTGTGCGTAGTCTTTTTTTTTCTTCTTTTTTGAGACAGGGTCTCACTATGCAGTTCAGGCTGGTCATGAGCTCACTGTTAGCTCAGGCTGGTCTCGAACTCACAGTGATCCTCCTGCCTCAGTCTCCTGAGTGCTGGGATGACAGGCGTGCTTCACCGTGGCCAGCTGATGTGTGCTGCGTCTTGTGGTAGACAGGGCCAGAGCCACACATAGCACCTCCCAACTTGAGACATCCGCAGAGCGCATCCAGGTCCTGCTGGCGTCTGTGTGGTCAGTCCAAAGACAGTGTTCGTGTTTGTATCTGCAAGAGCCAGGAGACAGCTGCAGCCCACTGGCCTTCAGTGCAGGACACAGGAAGTGTACATGTGGCACAGTACCCCACACCACCTCAGTTAGTGAAAAAGTCCTGTATCTTCTTTGAAAAGCATTTAAATTTGATATCAAAGTGCCATATTTTTATGTCAGTGTGTTTTTCTATTTACAAGCGTGCGTAAAATGTGTTATGAATTTGTGCCAATAAAGCTGTGATTAGAAAGGTGATGAAGTCTGACAAAGTTTTGTGTAAACCTTTTTTTTTAAATGTATTTAAGTACAGGGTCTACAGCATCTCACTACACAGATTAGATTTGTAGTGATTCTTCTGTTTTCAGCCTCCCAAGTACTGGGATTGGGATTACAGGCGTGCACCACCATGCTCAGTCTCAAGTCTCAGTGTGCCCCAGGTCAGGGCCTGCACCACATGCTGCAGGTGCTTTGCTCTGCCTGAGCAGGTGCTTTAGTCCACCGAGCTATTTGGCTGGCGCTCGTGTGAACATTTCACTTCCTATCACAGTAACAGGTGAAAACAGGTCGCCCACTGTAGGACCGAGCCCATGGTGCTTATCCAGCAGCCACACCTGTTTGGAAGAAAGTCATCAAAGTCACCAGCATCTCAGTGTGGGGCATCTCTCCATGGGGGTCCCGGGTAGCCAGGCAAGTGGTCCAGGTGGGGGACCGAGAGGAGGGACACCCACATCTCCCCGTCCCGGGGAGCTTGCTCGCGGGGCTGGCCGCCTCAAGGGAACAGAGCTGGCCCGTTTGCTCCAGCCAGGAACACCCCATCCCACCCCCTATGGCTCCATGTCGCTGCCACTCCCCGTCCTGTCCTGTCTAGACCCTGCTGGGTCTTGTCCACACTGCTCAGGGCGACCCAGTAGTGACGTTTGCCTCCACCTCCGACACTTCATTTCCTTGGGGACACTCAGGCAGGTTCCTTCACAGCTGCGTCGTCCCTCAGATGAGCACCTGGCACAAGTCGGTATTCGGAGGTCTACAAGGAGACTTATGAGGGAGTCGGTGGACTTGAAAATAGACGCAGGCTGCACCATCCTAAGGAGCCACAACAGCTGTGCCAGGGTCGACCTTTTGTTTTCTTTGCCTTTTTGAAACAGGGTCTCACTATGCAGTTCAAGCTGGCCTTGGGCTCACTTTGTAGCGCAGGCTGGCGTTGAACTCACGGCCAGCCTCCTGCTTCAGCCTCTGGATGGCTGGTGTTGCAGGCGTGCACAGCCATCCTGGGCAGTCATGCCCTTTAACTTGAAGTCAGGGTGGCTCCCGCTCCAAGAACTGCTCCACGTGAACGCGCGGCATCTTTAGAAACGGGAAAATCGGTGTTATTTCCAGGTCTTACGCTTTCCCCAGCCGGAGGACTGCGGACCTCCCGGGAGAAGGTCGGGGCTCTTCTCCCAGCGGCGGAGGCCAGCCAGGAGGCCAGGCAGCGGTCGCCGCCGCCCGCGGGGCCACCCAGCACCACGTTCAGCCCTGGAATTTTCAGAACGTCTTTGTTACGATTATTATGGAATTACTAGTCACATGACTAGATGAGAAAACTATCAGATAAAAGGAAAATACGCGTGTCTGCAGACAATAAGCAAACTGACGCTACAGTTACAGAGTATGGAAGAATGGCCAGAAAAACAGCGAATGCGGCGCCGGCCGGACGGGCAGCAGCACGGTACCGAGCCGCGATCCAAGGCCGAGCGAGCGGATGAGGCTGCTTTCTTCACAGCAGCTGACAATTCAAAGTGAAAAAGACACGAAATAGCAACAGAACAATTTGGAGTGGGAATTGCGGTTCCAAGCAAAACTCCCAATGCAAAGCCATGAGTCTGGAGAAATCTGAATGCAGACAAAACATTTCTCAATGCAAAACAGGCGAAGCTTAAGGCACTTAGGAAATGACTTTCAGGTATGTCAGCAAAGGGCCAAGCTGCACACGCAAAATGCTATCAAAAACCGACGTAAAAGTCGAAAGGACGAAAGCAGTTGGCAGAAGACGCCATCAAACACCTCTTACCGGCTGAGGCAGGCTTAGAAGACCAGCCGCCGCGGGCGGGAGAGGGAGCGGGGGCGGGGCGGGGGCGGACCGGGGAGGAGTTAGGGGCGGAGCCTAAGCGGGAGTGAGGGAGGAGCGGGG